CATGATGCTGTGCTTGTGAGGGCCGGAGTGCATTCTGGGCTCCAGGCACCTCTGAGGCAAGGCTTGGACCGGGGAGCTCGGCTCAGATGCCCCACCCCCAGCACCCTCCAGGGGCCTGCACAGAGGGCGGCTCCGTCCCCAGTTCTTAAGTTTCAGTTGCATGCCTCCAGGCGCAGTAGCAGCTCACTCTGCCTGTCTGATGGCCTCTCCCCTGCTCCATGCTGTGCCTCAGCATGAGGCTCACACGCCCGTCCACAGCTCGCTTTAGAGAGGGGGTCTGCTCTTCCTGACAGAACAGAAACGAGGATGGAAGGGTGCCTGGCCGTTTTTGGAGCCCTTCACGTGCTATCTCGGGACAGCCTTGAAAAGCAGAAATTGAGAGGAAAAGACCATGGCCTGATGGATGGATGAGGGGCCCAGGGTGGCTCCCAGGGTGGCGTCTTGCACCTGAGTGCACCGTGGTTCAGAGACAGCCCTGGCCCTCGCCTCCCTCACCGGTATTGTTGATTTGCAGGTTGGCCGCCTTGAGGAACTAGCCGCGCCCGGCCGCAGTGCGCCGCCCCAGCCTCGATGCGCAGGAAGGGCCAGGAAGGAAGCCTCTCCCTCTGCACTGCGTCCTGCCTTTCTGCTGACCCTGCAGCAGCAGCCGTCAGCCCTCGCTGCACCCAGCCTCACCTGCCAGGCCTGGGAATTGTTCCTCTTCTTTTAGGGGGGCCGTGGGTCTATGTCCTGGTGAGTTTGCACCAACTTCTGGCTTCTGTGGGTAATTTCTGTGATTCTGGGCCGACCAGCTGGGGGATCTGCAGGCTCCCCTCATCCCCCACCCTCTGAGGAGTTGATGGGGCCTGGCCAGTGGACACCATGTGGATTGTGGGACCTTCACACTCCGCATGATGGCAGACATGCTACTGGTGGTCAGCCAGCAGGGTCAGGGCCCCTCCTGCCAGGCAGGGAGCAGGGAGCACTCCACCCCTCAGACAGACATGGCCCCAGTGGTACACTGAGGAGGTGCTGGGGGCCTTTGTGTGCTGAAGGATGTCCTTGAGGGCCACCCAGCAAACACTCCATCCTGGGGCCTTTATGGAACATCCCAGGGATGAGGTCTCGGCCACTCCAGCCGGGACCTGTGCTCCTGCCAACTGCCTGAGCCCCACTCGGGCTGCTGGGCTCTGAGTCCAGGCGTCCCCCCCCGGGGGTCTGCATCCTTGCTCCACTGCCACCTCTGGAGGGCTATGGGCCCCCTGGGGTATCCTGCGTGTATCCAGCAACCCAGAGTGTGCTGAGGCACCTCCCAGCCACGGAGTGGGCTGGCACAGTGGCATGCTTTCTCTGTCGCTGTCCCCTGTCGCTGTAACGAGTGCCTCCCCACGACTGGCCTCCCCTCCTGCCTTCTGGGCTCACGCCACTTGACCTCAGGAGCCAGGGCCAGTGCAGCAGTGCTTCGAGGAGCCCTCGGCTGCTGCTGCTGCGCAGAGGCTGGCCGCAGACTCCTCCTGACCGCCTGCTGGGACGGCCTGGGAGGGTCCTGGGACAGGCCACTGTCTGGTTTTTTCGATTCCTGAAGTTTACTTCATTTTCTTGAAGGTTCCAGGGCTTTTTATTTTCTGTTTTTGCCAAAATAGAAGGAGCAGGCAGCAGACTCAGAGCATTGGGTCTGAGCCCCTTCGGCGTGAGCTGGTGGGAACTGCGTGCTTGGTCCTGACCGTGGCCTGGCTCTGTGCACAGCTGACCACCACACGCAGCCCTCACAGAGGCCTCCACCAGCTGGCCTGTCCTCTCACCGACAGCTCTTGTGAACAGGAGCGCTGGGGACCTTTACCTTGACTTGCTCTGTCTGACTCTCCCGGCCTCCCTGTGCGCGATAGTCGTGCCAGGAGCAGCCGTGGGCCACGGGGCGAGGCCAGAGGGCAGGGTCAGGCACTGTCCAGCATTTCTTCCACCATGCCGACCTCACCTCCCTCCCTGGCTGGGGTCCCTTGGGGTGCCCACGTGCTGAAGGTTCAGAGAAGGTCCTGAGTATCCTCTCCCAAGGGGTGCAGAGCTCCACGGACATGCTGGGTGGGGGGCGGAGGCCGTGGCTCCTCAAAGGGCAGTGGGCATGTTTGCCCTTTTTCCTAAAATGCTGTTGTGAGTAAACAAGTTGATCCCTGAGAACTTTCTCCAGCTTTGTGTTACTGGTCTTGGGGGGCGCGGGGAGCCATGGGTGGGACCTGCAGGGTGGTTCGTCCGAGGCTGAGGAGGGGCATCTGGGGTAGGGGAGGCAGGTGGTGTGAGGAATGCAGAGTCTCAGGCCCCACCCACACAGATGGAATCAGAACCTGCAGTTTTAAATTCTCTCTAAGTTTTTACCTTGAAATGATTTTAAACTCACATAGAAGTTGCAAACAAAGGATGCGATCTCTGCATATTTCTGTCTGCCAGCTTCCTTCACATCAGCATCCTTGTTAACCACACACAACTGCTAAGCCAGCCAAGCGCCCGGTGGTACTGACTGGCCAGGCCCCCGCCCCCAGTCTGGTGGGCCTCCCGTTTCTTTGTCTTCATGACACAGAAGGCCTTGAGGCATGCTGGCCAGGTGATTTGCAGACTGACCTTCCACTCAGATTGGTGTGACGTTTGCACATGATGACATTGAGGACGGAGCTGTTGGCAAAGAACCCACAGATGTGGCATTGTGTCTTCAGTGTGTCACACCAGGTGTGCAGTGTCACTGTCACCTGGGACAAGTGGTGCCAGCCAGGCTTCTCCCTTGTAAAGTTACATTTTCTCCTGCATTGAGTATCTGCATTGAGTATATGTTCGAAGACTGCAAACCTCGTCATGCTTTGCCCTTGACATTCGTGTCCATTGATGAAATCTTCCTGGTGGCAGTATTCATGGAGATGCCTATTTGCAGTTCTGAGTTCCTTCTCTCCGCTTATTTATTCCATTATTTATATCAACATGGACCTGTAGGTGTTTACTTTATTCTCTGTGTACGTCAGAAGCTGCATCTGTGCGCCTCTGTGGGCACCAGGACCACAGGTTCACACTGCCAGTGAGGCTCGGTCTGGCCCTCCCCCTCCTCATTTCTAACGTATTTGACGGTGAAACCCGGCCATCACGTGCTCACTTCTTGGCTTGTTTGTCTTGTGCACAGTGGTCTCAGGATTGCTCACCGTACCCCTGTGAGAGCCCCTCACTGCCCAGAGGACAGTGTTTGTGGGCAGTCCTCCCAGTTTGTGGTCAGGTGCCCTGCTCGTCGGCGTCCCTGCCCTCTCCAGAGTGTGCTAGTCTTGTGTTAGGTTCATTGGTGTGTATGTCACTAGTGCTCCCCATCCTGGCTGGCTGGCGTGTGAAACATGGCCAGGCCTCTAGAGTCATGTCCCTGCTCCTCGGCCTCAGCCCACCCCTCAGTGGCAACAGGCCCCACAGCACCGGGTGTGTCCTCCCATGTCTCTCCACCGAGCACATTGTCTTTGGACAGGGTCCTCGGCTGCTTGCGCACCCCGGGTTTATGAAGCGCTGATATGGGCCCTTCCAGGGGAGAGATGACCCCGGGAGGGCAGCCCGAGTGGCCGAGCATCCAGACACCACCCAGGGACTCTGCACCCCAAAGTGGGCTCCACACTATAGGTGGGCCCAGCCTCCTGCCCGCCTGTGTGGGGCCGGTTACCAAGTCCCCAGACCTCCCTCTCAGTGCTGTTCCCTCAGGAAGGGCCGGCGTGTCTGCCTCTCGGTGGAGCGAGGGATAGGTGGAAATGCTGTAGCAGGAAGAACTGAGGATGGGCAGCTGAAGACCTGCCTGGACCCAGGTGTATCCAGGACAGTACCTGAGGGCACTGCCTCTGTGGGGTATGGTTTTAATGCAGTTAAGGTGATTTCAGGACTACCCTTTCTTGGGAGAAAATACTTGCCAGGTAGCAAAACCAGGCATGCCACCCCTGCAGGGCACCAGGGGGCCCTTTCCATAGTCAGTGGGGAATGGGGACATTGGTGGGGGTCGGCCGCCTCAGGCCGGAACCCCTTGCTTGCTTGTTTCTCCTTTTACATTAAATTGATCCTAAGTGATCAGCAGATACCCACAAATGTCCCTTCTGTTGGCTTTCAATCCTCCCAGAGAGGTGCCGGCTGGAACGAGAGGCAGGCCCCTGTGGTCAGGTCACCCGCCTTCTCGTGGGACATGCAGCCCCTTCACAGAGAGTCTGAGGAAGACAATGGTAGCAAAGCACAGAGGGGACTGTCCGGGCTCAGGGCACTGTGGGGCGGGCACCCTTCTGCGGGCACCCAGGGTGCCACGCACAGGAATTCCTGCCCGATGTTAAGGCCTGCAGCTGTCCAGAAGGGGCGTTCTCAAGGCCTCTGGCCTCAAACGGGGGCAGCAGGGATGTGTTGGGGCCCCACCCGGGGTCTCACCCACCAGCTTACTCATCTCAAGACGTATCCACCCTCCGATGCTCTGCCCTGCAGGGTGCATGTTCCCAGTCCCTGAGGAGACCCCCGGGGTGGGCCCCAGAGAGTGCTCCTTGCTCCAGACCGCACTTTCCCATTCATCGAGAGGCTGGGCCCAGGGGTGGGGTGTGGGTGTGAGTGAGTGCATGTCAGGGGTGTGGGTGTGTATATGTGGGTAGATGTGCACACACATGGTTGTGTACATGAGTGTGCCCGTGTATGTGTGCATGTGCAGTGTGTATGTGTGCGTGTGCATAACTGCAAGTGTGGGTATGTGGGAGTGCACGTGTGTGTACGTGTGTGGATATATGTAGGGGCGTGTGTGTGTGAGAACAAGTGCATGTGGGGAGGTGGCAGCTGGAGCCTGGGCCACGTGTTTTTAAAGGTGCCTCAGCCACGTCTGTCCAAGCCCTCCTCAGGCCCCGCGCCCTGCCCGACCCCACCCTTCCAGGACTCAGGCCCTCCTGTGTCTGGATGTCCAGCCAGGGGCCACTTTCACAAAATTTGCCCCCGGATGCTCAGGAGCCCCCTTCCAGGGCCGGGGTGCTGATGAAACACACCCTCAGGACTCCAAGGGGTCATTGCCTTTATTGAGGTCCACTGTGTGCCCGTGTCCTGAGTGGGCCCACAGCAGGCAGCCCCCCTGGGAGCCCCGTCTTTGTGCGCCAGGAGCCGCGTTCCTAGAGCCTCGGCCGCTCTGACAACCAGTCTTCCTCAAGCCGCAGGAGCCCGAGGGTCCTGGTGCCCGTGGCTCATAGAAGACACAGGCCGAGGGGGAGCAGGGCGAGGGAGGCCAGCAGGGCCCCCAGCTGGCGGTGGAGGCTGGGGGCCTGTGAGTACCCATACTTGGTCCTGCAGGAAGGCTCCAGCTTGTCCAGTGGGATGGGCTCTTCCTCTGGAGTCTGCATATGGTCGCTCGCCTGGAGACAGACACAGGTTGGGTGCCTGCCTGCCAGGCAGGGTGGGGTGGGTGAGTGTGGGGCCTCCTCACCTCCTCCACTGCCTCGAAGACCCTCAGCAGGTTGTCAGCCAGGGCGCCCCTGATCTCTGCCTCCGTCCACTGTCTCCTGAGCAGCTCGGCGACCAGGTCTGGGTACTTGGACACGTCCTCCAACCCTGAGGGAACCCTGAGACGAGGGTGGAGAGAATCAGGTTCTGCATCCCAGGGACCGAGGGGCCTGTTCACCTCCCCACAAGCCACTGACCTGCCCACACCCCCATCCAAAGACACTGAAGTCCAGGGAGTGGCCCTCAGAGTGGGATGTGCTGGCCCATCCTCAGGACACACCTCCCTCCTCCAGCCCCTCACAATGTGTTCACGGGGGTCACGACCCTCCCAGTTCATCCACAAGACACAGGTCTCACCCCTTACCTTGAAACACCATCATAGTCCCCACCAAAGCCCACGGCCTCAGCTCCCGCCACGTTCTTGATGTAGTCCAGGTGGTCTGCAGGGGAGGCAGCAGGTGTGGGTCCTGAGAGGCCCTCCACCGCCTGGCCTCTACAGCTGCTCACATCCACCTACCTGCTACTTGGGACAGGTTGGCCTCCCTTTGGCAGGCAACGTAGTCGTTGTAGAAGTTGACCATCACCAGGCTGCCTGTCTGCTTCTGTAAGGGGGAGAGAGTGGAGCTGTGGGTGCAAGGAGGACAGCAAGGCTCCCTGAGGACCACCCACCAGGGGGACAGCAAGGTGCCCTGAAGACCACCCTGGGAGCAGACCCCCACAGCCCCTCACCACCAACTGAAGCACGTCGTCGGGCACGTTGCGCCTGTGCGCACACAGACTGTAGGCTGAGGAGTGGCTGAAGATGACGGGGGCCTTGGAGAGCTCTAGAGCGGCCTTCATGGTGGCCACAGACACGTGGGCCAAGTCGATCATGACGCCTAGCCGGTTCATCTCCTTCAGCACAGTCTGAGGGGAGACGGCTCAGGGCACCAGGACAGCCCGACCCCAGAGCCAGGCAGGCTGCAGTGTGCACGGCCTTCTGGGGTTCCCTGCAGCCCCCTGAGAGGTCCAGGCACGGGGTTGGGGGGCATTTGGGCAAGGGCATCAATGACCCTTCAATGGCCGGAAGTCTGGGGCCACTCTAGTGACCAGTGTGTCCCTGGGGATGACCCCTGCCAGATCCAGTTTACAGGTGAGGAAACAGGTTCTGAGAGGAGAGACACTGTGTCCTGGGTGACTTCTCTGAGGGCGACTGCAGTCCTCGCCCACCCTACTCACCTGCCCAAAGAGCGACAGGCCTTGGCTCTGGGCCTTGTCTTCCCCCGTGTCCACCAGCCAGTTGTCGGCCCTGCGAGAGCAGAGAGCAGGTACCAAGGGGCAGAGCGTTTGTCCTGTCCCCCCCCCCACATCCAGGACCCTCAGGAGCAGAGGAGGGCACGGGAGCAGGGCCGAGCTGGCCTCTGAACCCCCGTGAATGTCCCACACAGCCCAGGGGCCTCTGGGGTCACTTACCAGGGTGTGTTGCAGCTGTGAGTGAGGGTGAGGTACCGCATGCCCAGGTGGTAGAGTGCCCGCAGGACAGCGAGGCTGCTGTCGATGGAGTGGCCGCCCTCCACGCCCACCAGGCTGGCCACCCTTCCTTCCTGGAAGGCCTGGCGGATGCCTGTGAGGAGAGCCGGCCGGGCAGTGGGCGCCTGGGCAGTGGGCGAGTAGGTGTCCAAGGGGAGCTTCAACATGAGAAACGCCCCCGCTGCACCAGCACACTCTGCTCCGGACAAGAACTGGGGTGGTGTGGGGCCTGGGGGGTGGCTGGGACCCACCTGTGCTGTTGGTGACACACACAAAGGTCTCGGGGTACATCTGACACATGCGGTGGACGACATCTATCTGCTCCAGTGTCCTCCGCACAGCATCCTTGTTCTGGGTGTCGCAGGGTACGTATGCGGACCAGAACTGAGGGGCCAAGAGAAGGGTTGGAGCTGACAGCGCCCGGCCCCAGCCCCACCCGCCAATGGGCATCTGGCTTTCCTCCCACCTTGGAAGTCCTCCCTATGGCCTGGATGGCTGAGTCCCCTCCAAGGGCCTGTGGCCACCAGGGAGCCGCTGCACCTTAGCCAGGGCCCAAGGTGGGGGGGATGGACAGGGCCGGGCTGAGCTGTACCTGGCCCCCAACAAAACCAGCCTTCAGCTTGGGGATGTTGGTGTGCGTGGAGGCCAGCGTGGTCAGGTTGGCCCGCTCATCCCGAAGCTGGTTGTTGAACATCTTCAGCAGCTGCCAGGGCAGGTCGTTGTGCCTGGAGGGGCCAAGTGGAGGGGTCAGAGGCAGGTCAGGACAGCCACCTGGACCTGGGGCCTTCCAGCTCCCTCCTCCGCAGGCTGTCCCCTCTCCACTCCCTGCTTCTCAAGCTCAGGACTAAAGCCAGCTGCAGGGGTGAGGTGCCTGAACGCAACTGACCACAGGTGCGCTTCTCTACCGTGCCCCCCAGGCCAGGGAACCACGAGCTGAGGGAGCCCCCCATGGCTAGGTCCTCCCTCCAAGGGCCTTTCACTCTGCAAGATGGCAGGGCACATGCTTGCTCTGCTTCAAAATCGGGCAGGAGCTTAAACAACCTCCACGAACGAGGTTGGCTGACCCTGGGGGAGCGAGGCAGAGGGCCTGGGGCCTGAAGGTCTCCACAGGCTAAAGATGAAACCCTCCACTCACAGGAAGGGGCCAGGGAAGCGTGGGGAGGGGTCTGCTCTTGGGGCCTGGCACCCCCACCCCACCTTTCTGGGGCAGTGACTTCAGGTGCAAGATTTGGGAGCCCACAGGCCCCCGGCTGCCTCCATCGCTCTGGACAGCCCTGCGCCATGTCCAAGAAGCTCTGAGCAGCCCTGTGCTTACAAAGGTCTGAGGGTCTCTCAAGTTTCCTGAGGAGCCAGTTCCTGTGAGTGTTTTGGAGGAAGGGGAAGGGGGAAGAAAAGAGAGGGAGAAAGGGGGAGAGGGGGGAGGGCAGAGGGGCAAGGAAAGGGACGCAGGAGGGGAAGGGGAGAGGGGTCAGTGGCTGGTGGGTCTGATTCCTCCCTGGATCCAGGAATGGGCAGAGGGAGACCAGGGGAAGCCCCAAAGGGCGAGACTGCTGGAGAGCCAGGCCGCCTGGGTCCTGGATGCTGGAAGCAGCATCAGCCCCTGGGAGCTAGTTAGAAACGTAGAGGCTCACCAGTGGCTCACCCAGACCCAGCAGTGGGATCTGCTCTTTCACCAGCAACCCACATGGGTGGGACATCTAGGGAGGTGCCTTGGCTGGCCCGCAATCTAGTGACAAGACGGCTGTGAGGACTGCCTGGGGAGTGTTTCATCCTGGTGTCTCGCTCTGGGGATGCCTGGGGCCTTCTGGTGCCACCATGGGCCCCTCCCACCCCACCCCCTTCTCTCGGAGCCCCATCTCATGGGGACAGCACTTTGCAGAGGAGGAACACCACAGTTGGGGTGCAATGGCGGTGAATGGGGGGCCAGGATGGGGCTGCACTCCCGCATTCGAGACCCCTCTCTCCCAGGATGGCACCCCCTCCTCACCCAAATCCAGTTCCCATGTCCAATCCTGGCTCCCACCCCTCTTGCTGTGTCTTCGTCTGTAACATGGGGATGTCTTGAAACCTTCCTCAGGGTGAATTGTGAGGGTAAATGAGTAGCTATTAATACTAATACTACATCGGGATCATGCTGGCCTCCTGCAGGCCCAGGTCAGCTAGCCCCTGGGCTGGGCTTTTCCAAAGCAAGCTGGCCGGGCCCCCTCCCCTGGGCCCCGCCCCTTGACCAGCTCCAGACCCTGCTCTCTGTGGGGCTCGAGCCACAGGTGCTGCTTCCAGGAATCTGTGATTTGATTGGGTGACAGGGCTGCGCGAGTGGTCAGGAGGCCTTTGCTGGCTGAGCAGTGGACGCTGGGTGAGCTCCAGCCAGGCGGGATTACCGCCTCAAGCCCCAGCCCTGGGCACCGTCCCCGGGGCAGGGCTGGGCAGGGCCCCTGGATGGGACTAGGCACCCCAGCCTCTGGGCAATCTGGCCCCGCCCTCCAGCTGCCACCCAGGACCCACCAGGACGGCAGGGCACACTTTACTCTCGCCTCCTCCCCTCGGCCACTCCACCCTCGGTTGGAACCCAAAGTGGGGACAGAATTTCCTCCGCCCTGTGATGAGCCCTGCATTCTGGAGCCTGCCAGAGCTTCCTTCCTTATCTGGGTGGCCTGGGCAGTGCCCTTGGCCATGACATGAGGACCCCACTGCACTATAGAACGCCACGCTGCAGCCGGCACACATGCAGGCCGGCAGCTGTGAGAGAGCCCGCTGCTCGCCCATTCTCCTCCTTTTCCTTGGTAACACAACCTCCCATTTTTAGCAAGGCACATGGCCATTTGAAACAAAGATACTTCCCTGCGCCCTTACAGCTGGGTGTGGTCATGTGACTAAGTTCTGCCCTGTGACAACTCCCAAAATCTGTCCTTGATAGAGAGTGGTTGCTTCCCCTTTGCCCTTTCTAGGTCCCTTCCTTGTTCCTGCTGGCTGGCATGCAGATGTGATGGCCAGAGCTGCTGCAGCCACTCTAAATCATGAGATGACCATGGGAATGGTGGCCACAAGGAGTCCTTGGAACTGTGGAATGCCATGCTAGAGCTCCCTCTGGACGTCTCTGTGTTGAAGCTGCTTACTTGGGGCTCTGACCTACAAGAGTAGCTAAGACTAGCTGGTCCACAGTTATTAATTTTGATTCCATCAGCCTAGTCTTAGCTTTCTAGCTCTTTGGACAATCCCAGCTCCCTGAGCATTCCTGGCTATCTGGGCTCTTTGTGCCATCTTACCCCTCACGTGGGCTTCTGGGCAGCTCCCCACACCTGGCCTCAGCCGCCCTCTCTCGGTGCCCAGCCGCCCCAAGTCCCCCAGAATGAAGGAATAGCTCGCCTGGCTGATACTGTTGGCATCTTATGCTGCCCTTGCTGCCCCCTGCCAGACAGCGGGGGCTCCAGGCGGGGAGCCCAGGCAGGGCCTCTGCAGCCTCCTCCCCATACCTGGCTCCCCAGCGAGCCTGTGGAGGAGACCCAGCCTGCAGGGATGTCGGAGGCAGGCACCTGGCAAGAGGCAGACAGGAGAGCAGAGGGCCGCAGGGTCCAGGCAGGATGGAGGGGAGGATCCGAGGGCAGGAGGGGAGGGAGGGGCGCACACAACCCCTGGGGGCCCCTATTCCTTCTTGGGGGCTGCCACAGCTCACTGAAGTCCTACATAGAGGGACACCCCATTTTCTCTGCTTTCCTTGCAGAGCTTTTTTGTCCAAAAAAAGCCCCGAGGCATCTGCCAAATAGTAATGACGGCAGCATTTATGGAGCACCTACGTGTGCCAGACACATGCGGATGTTCAGCATTTATGGAGCACCTACATGTGCCAGACACACGCGGATGTTCTCCTTAGCACTCTCAGCTCCCAAGAGCATGCGAGAGTCCCTCCTCTCAGCGATGGCAGGAAGGGAAGCAGGAGGCCAGGGCTGGCAGGTGTGCTGGTGGGTCAGGACAGGCCTGGCTGCTGCGGTGGCCCTGGGCAAAGCCCTGGAGGAGCTGAGACCAGGAGTGTGGACCTGGGGGCAGATGGGCAGGGATAGCGCAGTGCGCGGCCTGCCTGGAGCATGGATGAGTGTGGGGGTGACTGGAGGGGCAGTGAAGGGCCCTGTGGGCCGCTGGGAGGACTTAAGTTGTTACTCTGAGCTCAGTGGGAGCCACAGGAGGTGGGAGGTGAGCTGGAAGGACAGGAGCTGGGACTTATGTCTCCAGGACTCCCTCTGGCTGCAGCATTGAGACCCAACCTTGGCCGGTGGAAGAAGGGGGACAGTCAGAGGCTCATGTTTGACCCAGAGCAGAGGTGGAGATGTGAGGGGAGAGGAGGGTCCATGCAGATGTACTGGGATGCAGATGCAAGAGGCGCTGCCAGATTGGCTGTGACATCAGAGAAAGAACAACAAGGTGTTGCAAGTCTTGGCTGGAAGGGGGCCTTCGAGAGAAGCATCAGGAGCTTGGTTTGGGCCATTGAAGCATGACTCCAAGCATCGTAGGCAAGGCAGAGAGGCGACCCCAGGGACCCCGTGCCAGATGGGGTCACCCATGGGTGGACACTGGAGAGGGAGGGGTGTGAGGAAAGGGTCTCAGGGAGGAGGGTCAAGAGGGCCAAGAAGGGCCCCCAGGAGCCCGTGAGGGATGCCACCCTCACCTGCAGTCTCTGGTGAGGAAGCTGAGGCCCCAAGAGGAAACGCAGCTCCCTCAGGCCAGATGGCTAGTGCGAGGCATGACCCCGGGCTGGACCACCAACCGTGCCTGGCCCCAGCACCCACTCTGAGCAGACACCTGGCCCCCAAGGCACAGGTGGGACCAGGTTGTGGGGCGCCCCCAGAGCATCTGAGGGCCAGGGGCTTCGCCACTTGCCTCCTTCCTACTCCCTGCAGGCCCTCATCTGCTGGAGCCTGGGGGCCCTCGGAGACTTCATGGAGCAGCTGAGGCCAGCAGAGAGCCAAGGCCACACTATAGCTAGAGAAACAGTCCCGGTGGGGAGAGGGCAGCGCCCACCTCAAGTCCAGGGCACGTAATCCTCAATCCTAGCTCCCCCAATCCCGGACCCCCAGCCCCAGACCCCCAGCCCTGGACCCCCAGCCCTGTCACACAAGTGACCACTTACCCGTCAATGACAGGTGTACCCTGCATGATTCTTTCTGCCTGGTCCCGGAACTGGTCTGCAGTACAGATGGCCACCAAGGGCCAGAGCCACCAGCTGGTCCACATGACACAGTCCCCAGGCACCTGCTTCCACCGCTGCCCTGGCTCGTCTGGCCTGACCTGGCCGGCCTTTGCTCCACAAGGATGAGCCGACGCTGTAAGGAGCCGCTCTCTGTGCCAGAAGAGAGAGCAGAAGCCTTGGTCCAGGTGATTGCTGCCAGGAGTTCTCCTGTTTAATCAGTAATCAATCAGTAATCAGCACATTCCCTGAGAGGGTGGGTGGATGGAATGTCCTCGACCCTGTGGGCTGGGCATTGCTGTCTGAAGCAGGCAAGAGGCTGCCAACCCCAGGGGAGGGGCTGGAGCCCAGAAGAAAAGACAGTGGCTCAGAGGGGGCTTGCTTGGGGTACGCGGTCAACAGTCTTAGCTGTATTGTTACCACTGCTGCCCTCAGCACCCAGGGCCTGAGATCTGCAAACAAGAATTAAAACAGTCAAGTGCTGAGTTCTGGTCCTGCGCTCCTCTGTTTGCTTGTAAAAATGGTTTTACGTTACTTACCGAGGAAGATGCTGCGCAGACCACACCCCACCCCAATGCTGGGGGTCTGCACCTGATTCCTGGAGCCCTGCCGGGCCCCACCATACCCAACCCAGTGGTGGGGCATCTGCACCCCAGTTCCCAGCCTGTGGCCCTCTGGCATCACAGGGACCCACACTCCGCCTGCAGGCTTCTGACCAAGCAGGTTGGACTCTGGGGTTTGGGGTCAGAAACCTGGAGCACCAGTGATTCCTCAGAACTGGGGTCCTTTCGCAGGCTTGCCACACACTCAGGTCTCCCTGGGGACTTCTAAGAACCTGATGTTGGGCAGCACTGGGACCAATGAATCCTGGTCCCAGGGCTGGGCCAGTGTCCAGGGTTCTGATGAGCAGCCGGGCTGAGAACCAGGCTGGCTGGGAGGGAGCCAGGTCAGAAAAGCTGGTAAGAGGTGCGGGCGAGACGAGGAGACCCTTCCTCCCACCTGAGAAGGAGGTCTCATCCCTCCTTCAGCCATCAGCTGCGTGTCCCAGGCAGGTGCCTGGGCCTCAGTTTCCCTCCTGTTGAAATAGCAGCTTGCAGGGCTGATTGGAGAATGGGACCAAAGGCACAGACATCGTTTGCTCTAGTCCTTTCAGCCTCTCGTCCCTCCAGCCTCCACTCGCACCCTTGCGAGGAGGAGCAGAGTGTCCTCGGTGCTTCTCCTCCATCTCTGCCCCAGGATGCCTAGGGCCTGGGCCACTGGCCCCAGATCCGTCAAGGACTTTGCTCCCAGGCCCCTGTCCCTTGGTCAGGACCCCCCCGCTGCTGGCCCAGGTGTCCTCTGTGCCAGGCCCCAGGGTTGGACCCTCACCACAACCCTGTGCAGAAAAGAGCCCCCCTTGATGGATGAGGAATCTGGGTCCAGACTGGGCTCTGACCAGACCACCTGGGGGCTGTGACCTGTTAGATGCTGGGCCACCCCAAGGTCAGAGTGCCAGCATGTCACTGGTCCTCCAATGCTCCGTGTGCACTCACCTTCGACCCCCCCTGACCTGTCACTTGGTGACCTGGACACTGCTTCGTGGGTGAGGTTCAGGTCTGCTCACGGGGGACCATGCCCTCCACAGTGAGCTCCCTTGGCTCCTCCAGGACTCCTCTCCAGGGTCTTCCGCCTGACACGGCTGTCACCACACCGTGCTCCTGTTATCAGCCTCTGCCTGCTCCACAGTTTTCTCTTTTTTTTCTTATCCTTTTTGTTTCAGAGTTGGTTATTTTTTTTAAGATCATATAATTGTACTTTATTTCTTAACCTCATCTGAGCATCTTTGTCTTTCAAATTGATCATTTAAGCCAGTATTATGACAATGACGGTGCTGGCCTCCCTCTCCTGCGTGTCATAAAGCCCCTCTTTCCTGTAGCTGTCGGCCCTGTCTCCCGCTTCCTTGCTTTTGCTGCATTCTTTATGTGGTTCCTATCAGTTGCGGTCTCACACAATTAGAAAGTTCTTCTACGTGTCACGACTTTGCTAGCATTTTCCCTCATATTTTTAACATCATATTTGGATCTATATTTCTCTGTCAACACATAGAATGTGTAACACGTGGTCACAGCCCATGGTCTCGGCAGCATTCATTTAAATGTAGCCACATGTTTTCCTGGATTCGCTGTTTCTTATGCACTTCCTTTTCTCCTCTCTTGAGACATTTACTGTGATTTTTTTTCTCACTCGTCTGCAGCCGTTCTTGGGCCATTTCCCAGGAATGGTGGCACCCGTCACAGCCGGGCTGGCTCCTTCCTCTGCGACTGGGTGGTCTCCCCACGTCCGCAAGGCTCTTCTTCACCCTCACCCCCGCAGAGGGGTCGGGGGTGTCTTTCAAACCTGCCTCACACTGGATTTTGGCTTTATTTCCATTTTCAAATTCAGAATTCACTGGCTTTAATTGTCGGAAAACACTTTATCAGTCTAGAAGTCCAGTAGAAAAGAAAGCCTTCGGGACCCAGCCTGGTTCCACAGCGGGAGGTACGCCAGCTGCCAGCTTTCTGGTCATCTCCGCGTCACTGAACCACGGCCCCGCGCCTCTTCCTTCATCGTCAGCTTCGCCTGGTCCCGACCGACCTCCTCTTCTGCTGACCAGGATCCGGATTTCGCGGGTCAACTGCCCAGCCCCCTGGTAAACCCACAAATCTCCCTCCCCTGCAACTTCGGGCAGCACAGAGCCGGCGAGGGCGAGGAGAGTGAGGCACTGCCGCGGGTGCAAACTGCAGAGTAGGGAGTCACTGAAAACCTCAGTCACTGAGATAAATAGTATTTTAATGCAATATTTTAGAAAATCAAAAATTCCAGCAAAAAAAATCCATGATGAACAAAATAAAGACAGGGCCAGTATTCTGACTTTTCCTTTCTCACCCCAGCTCCTACACGATTCCACCCGGAGCTGGTCTCACGGGAAACACTCCCCTCTGTTCTGTGACTTCAGCCACAGACAAATCTTGTCAGCGGATGGCAGAGGACGGCCCGTCTGGGAGCTCAGCTGTGGGCATGACCGCACTTCCTCAGATACTCCTGGGAGGAGAGGATGCAAGGCCCCGGGGCCACCCCATGTGTCAGGGTCTGCACACCCTTCTTCAAACATGAGGTGACGGCAGAGGATGACACCGAGCATGAGCTCACGCTGAGGGTGAGCGTGAGCCCTCTGAGCAGGGACCCAGGTCCGTGCCGGGTCCTGTGTGGATTCCATTTCGCATTGTTTCTTGATCTGACTCGTGACCTGTGGGTGGCAGGGCGGCATCGCTGAGTGGGCTGTGGGGTCAGACTGCGTGTGTGAGCTGGTCAGATTTCTCAGCCTCGGTGTCTTCACCTGTGACGTAGAAGTTATCTGAGACCTCCCTCACAACAGTCCCTCATAACTGATCGGCAGTTTTGCTGGACATTCGCTTCGGGTTGGAAACCGTTTTCCCTCAGAACCAGAGGGCTCTGCGGTCTGTCCACGCCGCTGGTGAAAGTCCAGAGTCGATGTGAGTCCCGGTTCTGGCAGGTGATGCGCTCTCCGTCCCGTCTCTCCGGCACCGCTCGAAGGCAGAGCTTGGACCTCCTGGGTTGGTCCTTTCTGTCTCCTGTTTTGGGTTTTCTTCTATTTTTAGTCTATGGCCTAGATCTTTCCTCAGTAATGTCTTGCAGCACTTTGATTTGACGTTTTCTTTCAGGAATCATGTATTTAACCTCCCAAGAGTGGTGTCTTGTGTCTCGTTGCTGAAGCTCTCCCTCGCATCCTGCTCTTGTTATGGAAGCGACGCTCTGACCCCAGAAGACCACGCGCCTCCTCGGGATGCATTGTTCCCACTGTTTCTCTGGACCTTGGTTGCATTGTAGCTGGCAATTTTTGTCGCCTCCTATTTAGTGTTTAGGAACGCAGAAATAGCCAAGCTGGCTGTGCCGTGTGGATGCGGCAGCCGCCCGGCCTCAGGCTTTGTGTAGAAAGGAGCAGGGGGGGCTGGCATCACGACGTGGCCCCTTCATGGCAGAAGGCGACATGAGCACTTTTGACAGCAACCCTGATTCTCAAACAATATATTTTTGGGAAGGACCACCTGGGGTTTGTCACCCAGGAAACGTTTGGCCGTGGGCTGGTGAGGCCTGGCACCCGTGTGAGCGGCGTGGGGGCTCAGCCCCTCCACAGTGCGACTGTCGCCACAGCCCCCTCTGTACCCTTCCTGACAGGACTTCTTACTCTGCTTCCATCCAATCCATCGTTCCCAGAAATCTGTCAGAGTCTTTGCTGCCGATGGACACCTTCCGTCCTCTGACGTGTGGTTCTGACCCGACTGGCCAGGAGCGGGCAGCGCTTGTGGTCTGGTGTCTGAGCAGAGGACGCGGCAGACGGTCAGCCGGCAAGAGTCCCCGGGTTGGGTCTGGTTGGATCCCCTTACCTCCCCTGTGCCGGTCGCCGGCATGGCAGCCATGCTCCACCATATCGTGTCGTGTGGTGAGGCCAGGGCCCGGGCGGGCAGCGGCATCCCAGGGTGCAGCCAGCCCGGCCAAGGCCGCCTGTTTCTAGAGTCGTTGTTAGGAGAGCAGCCAGGAGCTGGAGCTGGTGCTTGTTAAGAGCACAAGCTTTGGGGTCGGACAGCCCTGGGCTCAAACTCCCGGCCGTGGCAGATGGCACCTCCCGAGACGGCTGCGCCTTCTCCCACCCGACATGCTCCTTGCGCTGCAGCGTCGACCCCTCCTCGGAGGCGGGCAGCTGCCTGGCCCAGGGAGGCGCGGGTGTGACTGTGGGTGCCACCGGCCTCTGTCCCCTGGACACTCCCCTGGGACCTGGCGGGGCTGTTCTTCAACAGCCCCAGCTCGGCCCCAACTGACAACCAGACAGGAACCTTCGGATGACCCCAGCCCCAGCTGAGGCCCCAGACACCAAGGGCCAGAGATCAGCTGGCCCCACGGGGCCCTGAGGAAGGCCCAGCTCACAGGAAGCGTGAGCACTAATGCACACTAAACTGCTACGTTTGGGGACTGTTTGTTACGCAGCAATAGAGGCCTGATACACTGGCTGCTTTCCCACAACTAGTGACTCTGATGTTCCTGTCTGTAAAACGGGGACAAATGATCCTAACCTCACAGGGCTGTTGTGAGCCAGCACTCCTCACGCGTCAGCCTCGGGTGCTCCCTCCATGAGTGTCACCTTCTTCGTGCCCCACGGTTGTTTCTTTTGAATAAAGAGCAGCCTCTTGTGCCCACCCCACATCTTCTCAGTCTCACGTGGATGACGTAGAGTGACAGCAATGCCTCCTGCATGCTGTGTGGTGGTCCCCAACCAACAGGCCCGAAGCCTAGGGACAAATGCTCTTGCCAGTTTGTCCCCGGGAGGACATCCTGAGACCACCCAATGATGCCTTCATCTCAGACTCTCCTTCCCCCTTGGCCCTGTGGTCACTTCTCAGAGAAGCAGTCTGCGCCCAAACCTTGCCTCAAGCTCTGTGTTCAGGGGAGACACTTAATCACTTTTTATCTGTGTAGAGGGAATGGTATTATTAGTTGGGAAATCAGGATCTCTTGCCATAAACAGAAGGAATACAGTGAAAATAAACAACAAAAAATTAAACAGTGTCCTTATGTCTCAGCCAGAGCCTTGGAGAAGCGACCTATGAGGAGTTCCAGCGGGTGCTTTCCCTGTCCAGGGAGCAGTCACGGCCAGCTGGCTGGCGGCTCCTCCCACACACACACTGCGAGGACAGAGGGGGCCCAGTGGGCCTGGAGGCAGGGCCCGTCAGGGAAGCCTTGGGAACAAATTATCAGCTGGAGCCACCAAGGATCATTCCACCAAAACTGCGCTGTGATGTGGGGCCCGAGGAGGCCTCCTCTCCCCAAAGCTTCACCTGCCACTCGTGCCCACGTGCGCTGGGCCACCAACCAGCCAAGAAGGACTGGAGCCCATGGCCCCGAGATAGCCCGCGGCAGTACAGACGTCCCAAGATCCATGACCCACCGTCATTCTACAGTACATGAGCAAACACACACAGATGTATGCAAGACAGAAACGTGCACACAGCTCAACCCACGCCGAACCACGCCACATGAGCACGCATAAGCACCCTGCACGTGCAAAAAGAGAAGCAGACCGACACCTGTGTAGGCACAGCTACACACACCCAGACAACTCACATGCAAACACGCCCGTGCCTCCACAAAGACCCCCACAGCAAACGTGTGCAGACCTCATCCACACCCATATCTAGACTTGACCATGTCTGCACAAGTGGACACGTGCAGACACACCTACCCACAACCCACACCCTGCACACGCATGCACACAATGTCACAGACCAGACACTCAGACACACCGCGCACCTGATCATGCAGAAACGTGCTCAGGCTTATAAACACGCAGGCACGGACTTTTCACATGTGCTATGCAAACGCACACTGAGACATCCAGTCGTGTGCACACACGAGACACACACACAAGCACACAGACATGACCACACACGCTGCAAGCCTGTCCCCTCACACACACAGGACACATACATGCACGCTTTGCATGGGGTTGGGAGCCCACAGGCGCCCTGGTCTCTGCGCCCACCCAGCCCCCACACCCACCTCGGCGCCTGCAGCCCCCTCCGCCCCTGTGACCACCCACAGAGCTGGGCACAGCGGTCCTGAAATGGCCTGGAGGGAGGACGGCGGGGGCGCGGGGTGAGTCCCTGAGAGGACCTGGGGCTCAAAGACAGCTCCACAGCCCTCCTCCGCGGCTCCAGACCAGGCGACGTCTGCACGGGGTGTCCTTAGGCCCCTCAGCCTTCCTGGCCCAGCTGTGAGGCCACCACCCCGACCCCCACCCGCAAGGCCTGGATCCCCAGTGTGCTCCAGGACAGCACTCTGGCACCCAGTCCACAGGAGTCACCCTCAGGCTGTGGCTTCTCCACACCCCTCCTGGTCCTGGCCCGCCCCCCACTCTCCCTGGGGTGACCTCATGGCTCCTCTGGCTGCCCCCACCGCTCTGAGGCCTGTGACCCACTGAACACACAGCAGCAGGTCCCTTCCCTCAGGGACCCCCGAGACGCTCGATGAGGTCCTGGCCCCTCAGCCTTGAATGGGGAGGGGGTTCCAGCCTCCTCTCACCACCTCCCTCACCCCGGAAACAACCCTGTAGCCCCTCTGCCTGGCACTGACGTCCTTGCTCCATCTTACCCTCCGTCCATCACCAGAGAACCCCAGGACCCCAGCCTGTCAGGCCCTCCCCCTCCCCCACCCACGACACCCTCAATGTCCATCTCCCCCAGTTCAAACTCTGAGGCCTCACGGAACATGCAGCAGGTGCCCATTAATGGATGCGCTGGCGGGTGCTTCCTAACCTAGAGGCTCAGCCCTGAGCCCCTGAGACTCACCATGAGCAGGAAGAGGGGCCCAGTGCTGCCAGGACCGAGCTCTGCCGCCCACCGCCTGTGCTCCTGAGGCCTGGGGGTTTGTTTCTGTTTTTCTCGAGTTCTGTCCCTCCCCTGAGTTCTCCACCCAGCTTCCCTTGCACAAAAAAGCCACCTCTTAAAAAAAATTCCCCCAGGGGCCTTCACAATGGGCCATGGAGAGAAGGGCTTAATGTCCCACACATGTCAGCTGGTTCTAGTTTCTGCAGACACGTCGGAGGCCTCAGCCGTCGCACACACTCAGCTGGCCCCAGCGCTGGGGCTCTCTCCGGCCCACAGGCTGGGCCTCGGGCCCAGGGCTGGCAAGACAGGACTGTGTTGGGTGAAAAGGAATTGGGGTCCCTCAGACAATAACGTGGGGGCTGTCTGAGGCAGGCTGTCGGCCTCAGGTGGGAGGGCTGGGTTAGGAGGTAGGGAGGAGGGAGCCAGGTACAGGGGTTCATGGAGGTGGTCTGGGACTCTCCCGCTGAGCCCACAGTGTCCCAAGGCAGCAGCCAGCCTGTCACCTGAGGATCCCCTGACTCCTGCCCACCACCCTCATTCCCTGGGGTCGAGAGTGACCTTCTGTGGCCCAGGGTTGAAACTCGATATCTCTTCAACCTAGGAGCGGGGTTGACTATAGCCTGGCCCAGAGGCTGGGAGGCCCCGGTTCCCACATATGTAATGGGGGGTTGATCTCCCCACATTCTCAGCTACTAAAGGATCAAAGGCATTCAGGGATCGGAATGTCCTCTGGCAGAGCCATGGGACTTTTGAAATCAGGGGAAGGTCTGGTAGGGACCCAGCCCAGCTCGGGGCTGGTTCCATCATGTGGTTTCAGATCTGGGGCGGGGGGCATACCCTGATGGGTTCTGGTGGGCAGCAGGCTGTCCTGTCCCCACACAGGTAGGGGCCCACAGCAGCAGGGTGGAGGCACAGTCGGGGGCGCACGGCCCCCAGCCTTCCCTCTGCCCTGGCTCTGGGGCCCATGCTGCCTCCTGGGCTGCAGCCGCAGTGTCTAAATGCGGGATGGCCGCCGGTCGGGGCTCTGCCATGAGAGGTTCAGGTACCAGACATGGGAAGAAGGGAAACAGTGATGGGCCCCGGGGGTAGGGCGGGGGTCCCCTCACCTCAGAGTTTAGGAGGATCCAATGAAGGAGGGACAGGCAGTGAGGGCACAGGAGAGGGCTGAGTCAGGGTCTTGCTCTAGGGGAGGGCGGACGAAGGGCTGGGCCTCCTTCTCTGGGCATCCCAGACCGGGCCTGGCCTGGAGGCCAGCCCCCCACTTCCACATTCGGTGGGGTGCCACTCGGGGGGCACAAAGACTGGAGACCAGAACTTCCCTGCTGGGCGGGCCCCAGGCTTGACATCACCCAGGACGGCTCTCCTGGCCAGACCCTCCTTTAGGGACGGGCAGGGGGCCTGGATCTGTCGTGGGCACTGACTTGCAGGAGAAGGACAGGTGTCGGCAAGAGAGATTGCTACTTTCAATATTATTATTGATAAATAAATGGCAACCAATAGGATCTATTGGAGACTATGAGGAAGCCATTTGGTGTAAAACTAATTCAGCCTGACCTTGTTTTTCCAAAAGGGCCTGACATGGCCGTTGAACATGCATTGCATATCTGCCTTAAGCGTTTACTATGTCCCAAAGACAAGAATGATGCCCTTTGAGAAAGATGTCTGTCAGCATTTCCTTAAGCATAAGCATCTCTCCCCAGGCTAGGGATTGACTGCTGACCTGCTGTGACCACCCAGCTCGAGACCACAGACCTGCTGTGTCCGTCAATTGCTGTGTGAATCGCTGTGCTGGCTAGGCAATCTCATGACTGTTGTGAAAGGGACATTCCGATCATGCGTGATACGTGCTCTTTGATGTATATGACCACTCCTTCCACCTCCACTTCTTTGGAGCGCTCCATTCCTGTGCGGAAGGACTCCCCTCGGGCCACAGCGTCCTCAGATCTGGCTCATAGTAAACTCACCCCAATTTTGATTTATAGATTGGTTATGGATGACTTGTGTCCACATTACTTTTTACACTATTTGAAATTTTTAGCATGTGCATTAAAATGGAAAAATCAAACTAATTAAAACAGAAAAAGAGGCTCTGGAGTGCTCAGGCAGCCTCCCCAGCCTCCACACAGAGTCCCCACTGACTCGGGGCACCCTCGGGGCCCCAGCCCTGCCCTGAGCCCCCCTTTGTGGGGTTCTGCAGGCTTCAGGCACCCGCTCCTCAGCCCCACCTCGAGGCTGGCATCCTGATGGGAGAAGGGACAGGGTGTGGACGGGGAGCATGGGGAGGCCCTGCTGTGCCGTCTGTGGCCCCGAGGGAGATGTTTGTCTTTCTGAAAGTCCCCAGAGAGAAAACACCCCTAGTTAGGTCAATTGAGGGGAGCCATTTATTGGGGTGAGCCTGGTGGAGAGTACCCTCACAGTGGATGGCACCCACAGCCCCTCCGGGTGTCAGGTCCTCTCGGCGAGGTATCCAGAGGAAGCTCAGTGTCCAAACACTCACACCTCCAGGCAGCCGGCTTCTCCACTCCTTCTGGGGCTGAGGGGCCCTGGGCCCCTCAAACATTGTCACACGCGTGTTCTGGCTCCTAGAGCCAGTGCCTGGGCCCAGAGGGAGAAGGATGTAGGAAGGGACAGCCGCCAGGAGACGTCACCACCTGCCCCCTCGAGAAAGGCCACCTGGCTGAGAGGAGATGCCGGGGCCTGCACAGAGGGGTCAGGGCTGGCTCCCTGGAGAGCCTCAGAGGGCCCACGCTTGGGCTACCACTCTTCTGTCTGGAAGTTCTGAGTCTTATCTTCAGGGTGTTCTGACGGACCATGGGCCATGCGAGAAAAACATCCCACGTCGCCATGTCATCGCAGCTTCCTCCTCCCCAGGACTCAGCACTTTCCTGCAGGCAGGATTTCTCCCTGTGCTGTTTCCTGCCTCCTGGAGGCTCTGTCCTCACTGGGGTTTTATTTGCCGAATTCCCTGCTGCGTCCTCAGCTTCTAGAACAGGCAAGTCCACAGTGAGCACCCACGGAGAGTTAGGGAGGGCAGAGGAGCAGTGTTGATCTGCGCACGTCCCCTCTGAGCCGGTCCACAATACTGGCAGTGGGGTTCCTGCCTCCAGGCTGCTGGGGGACTGCGGCTGCCCAGGTGGGCTCTGGGCTCTGGGCTTTTCCCCGCGCCGCCTGAGGCCACGCCAGCAGCCCTACACACAGCTCCGGTTAGGGACCTCAAGGCGTCTCCAGTTTGGTGTCGGACTTGGTGCATTTGAGCGCACGAGGCATCTGTAGGGAAATTTAGAGAGCGCCACCGTGTCCTGTCCAGGGCTGCTGGGTCCGCTCTCCCACTGGGCCTCGTGGGTGACTCAGAGGCAGCCGGGTCCTGGACAGGGAGGGGCAGGAGGCCCTGTCCCAGGGGCCACCCCCAAGGGAGGGGCAGGTTTGAGGTCCAGCATTATCTCCGCCGCATCGCCAGCTGCTCCGTCAGCAGATCCCTGTTCTGATGGGAGCCCGCTGTCCTGGGCGCCACCCTCCGTTTACAGCCCTTGTCCCAGTGCAGTGACAGGGGCTCCTGGCCACAGCCTCAGAAGCCTGGCGTGGCCCCCCCACGGGGCAGTGCCGTCACTGGGCCAGGCAGGCAGCGTGCATGAGGGGCCTCCCGCTGGGGCCAGCCTGGTCCCCTGGACCGTAGAATAGGGACAATGGTGCCCACATGGAGACACTCAGATTTGAAGGAGGCGCCTGTGTGAAGATGCTGAGGGACTCTTAAGCACTGTGTGGGGGCTTCAGTGTCCTCTCTGTGGACCGGGCTGAGAACCCAGCTCTGCCTGAGGCTGATGGACACTCAGGGGCTGGGCTGGTGCCTCGGGGTCAGTCCTTCTCAGGCTGCCCGTTCTTCTCAGATCCACACCCCACGGGCATGAGCACAGGTGGCCGTGACAGCAGGTGTCCTTGTGCCTCCTCCTGTCCACTCCACTGCCCCCAGCTGCTGCTGCCTCCTGGTAGCCCATCAGGGCCCTGTGGGTGTGGCCTGGGAAGTCACTTCCCTGTGGGGGGAGCACCCGGCAGCTCTGGGCCCCGTAGGGCTGCCCAGCTGGGGCTATCCCCTTTTCCAGCTCTGGAAACTGAGGCACGGACTGAACATGCTCAGGCCACACTGCTTAGAGCTGGGATTCGAGCCCAGGTTGCAGGATTTCAGAGGGTTCCAGAAGGTTCCAGAGGTGTGCATCGACCACTAGACTGTTCTTATAGGGTTTGTTTTCATGCATGTGTGTGTGTGTGAGGAAGATCATTGCTGAGCTAACATCTGTGCCAACCCTTCTTTATTTTGTATGTGGGACACAGCCATAGCATGGTTAATGAGTAGTGTAGGTCTGCACCTGGGATCCAAACCTGCAAACCCTGGGCCACTGAAGCAGAGCCTGCAAATTTAACCACTACACCACCAGGCCGGCCCCAAGACTGTCTGTATGTTTTTGAACCTCTCAGGGCAGCAGGAGGAGAGAAGGCGGCCCCAGGCTTCTCCCACATGCCCTGTCCCCCGGGAGAGACCAAGAGCCCTTGGTTCCAGCATCGGGGGCCACTCGCCGTGCCTCCAAGAACTGCCCCTGCTGTCCCCGAGTCCCAGTGGGCACTGCAGTCAGATGCATGCCGACATCGCTACCTGGAGGAGGAGACCCTCCTCACCCCGCACCTCCAGCCTCAGTCCCGCTCAGTCCTCAGAGCCGCGCACGTGACCTAGGATTCCATCAGGATTGGTCAGTAAATGTGCCTGTCTACAGAGAAGAGCTGAAGCCCTGAGGGGGCATGTTTGGGGGACATTTGCATATTAGGGGGCACTGGATGCCCCCTCCTGCCCATGACACCAAACTACCACCTCCCTGGCGCTGGTCACAGGCAGGATATTCCAGCCACCTCCCCACCAGACAGCACCCCCCTGGGCAGCAGCACCGCCCCCTCTCCCGTCCCACCTCCTGCCCCCAACCCCTGGCCCCACCGACCCCCAGCCCACTTACCTTGGCCTCGGCAACTCAGGCTTGTTCTCAGCCAGGCACTC